AAGGGTTGCAAGAAATTACCGCACAGCATTAAGATGAGCTCGGCATCATCTGTAAAAAGACAGCAAAGTGTGGGTCTAAATACATGCTGCTTATGATTGTTTATTCATAAATAAATAAAAACCTTTCAAACTTGACAGAAAATAAACTATACAAAGCATTTGTCTGTTTGCAGAGAGCATAATCGCAGCGCAGAGGACAAAGAAATATACCAGAACTGGGTAAAAACCATGGAGCCAATATACAACAACATACACAACTTCACAAGGGTGAGCATTCACTGCGTTTTATTAGATTCAGTGCCTCTCATTACTGTAAAGTCACCACATTTAAACACTTAATTCTTTTGGGTTTTTTCCAGAGAAAATCAGTTGTTTCGGACTCACAGGTAATTCATGCCAATTTCTTGATTGCTTCTTACAAGGCTACTTATTGTTCTGCCCATTTTTGCTGAACTTTTCTTCAATTTGTCCCTTCTTCTCCTCCCACCAGTCTCTAACAGATGCTGGTGCAGCGCTGCTCTACGCCATGAAGCACAGCAATAGGAAGTCCATCTCACTGAAGAATAAACAGAAACTCTAGCCAACAGTCCTGCTGCACCTTTCACCTCATTGGAAGCAGCTCAAGTCATAAATGGCGACGCTGAACAGTGCAGTTAGACTTTGATTAGCTGGCTGAATTCATATCCTTCAAATATTTCACAATGTAAATAATGTATTAAAGCAAATTGCACAAGTCTTTTCTCAGATTTAGACTTTTTGGTCGTCATGTATTTCAACTGCTAAGACAGTAGATAGTAAATATGGGTGTGTATGGGACTCTGTAGGGTGGCAGAGTTTGTGTTCGTGCACTGACCAAAGCATACAGGAAAAACCTGATTCAGATGCACCATCATGCGGTGAACACCCAGATCTTCTGGTGTCAGCAAAATACACATCACAACAAACCTTTAAAAAAACAGTAAATATGCACATCTTGAAAAGCTAGTAAATGTAGAAGGTGAGTAGAAGGTCTACGTATGGCAACAAAGAATATGTGCAAAATATTTGTTGGTATTCATTATAGACTTTTATGTTAAATACATTTTCTGATAAGTTGACCTATTTTTGGTTCCAAATATGTGACAAATGTCCCTCTTTTTACATTTAAAAAACAAATCTTAAAAAAAAGAAGAATACCTGTCACCTAAACCAAATTGCCTGTGATCCAAAAGACCTCAAAAGTCCTGAGCAGGGTCAATATTATGCACAATTATGACCATAAAATTAAGTTTAACACGTGTGCAAAATGTAGTTTTTGGCACTTGCAGGAGGAAAATTAATCACACAAAAGCAGCTGACTTTATACATATTCGCTATACACGTAGAATATGGTATAGGTATTTAGTAGATGCACCAGCAGTGACTCCAAGCTCACATCTGTACTTTCAACATGTTGCAAAGAAGAAAAAAAAGCTGAGTGTCAATATTTAAAAGTTGCTAAGGTAGTGAGCAGTGGAGAATCTACAAAATATGACTGAACATTACTGTAATAATTATGCCTGCGATAGAAGCCAAAGCATAATTACACACGTGTTTCTCTGGGCAACCCTCACAACACAAATATGTAACTGTGAGCAGATGTCTGCAGAGCATTTGTTCCAGAGAAGTAGAACATACACCAACCGGGTTTAAACAAGATTAAAGCCGCAAGAGGCGATGGACGGGTCCTCCCAAAGAAAAGTCATTTTGAGTTTTGGCGTGGAATAAAAAAGTCATACTATAGCATGTCGTTTTTGTCAAAAAA